TGGCCGTAAGTAGCTGTCTCCGTGTCTGTTGCAGCTGACGTCCACCACTGTCGGCCTTGTTGTTAGTTTGCGGTAGTGAGCCCCCAACACCCCAGTCAAACATGAAGGAAGATGCTTTGGCTGACCTAGGACCTTGTATTCTCACTCCTACCCTGGTACATCTCACCCAGGGGAAGAGTTTCACCACCACCATCCTGCTGTCCATGAGGCCTTGTTTCTCCTTTCATGCTCTGGTCCAAATGTGGACACTTCATATTTCACTGAATTTCTCTCGCTTGAGACAGGTCAGAATATGTGAATGAGTCCATCACATTCTGTGTGGGGAGCAGAACAGATGTAAGTGTCACAAGTAGATGGAGTCCAGGCTGTCCGGGTTGACAAATGCAGGCTGGGATCTGTGATAGCTGGGCTATGCCCTGGACACAGGCCTTTCCCGTGGCTCCCGATAGCCCAGCGGTCAGATTGAGAACAACCTTTCCTGGTATCCTCCATCCTCATCTGACTGGCAAGTGTGTCGGCTAATTAGGAGCTCCCCTAGACCTCGGGCCCTTCAAAGCTCAGACCACAGGAGAAACTAGAGTCCCTTCTCCTGGGCCTCCTTTGTGAGAATCCAGTGCCTTCTGAGGTGACCCGTGCCAGGAGATGCCTCCCCCTCCAGGTAGCACCCTTCGGTGGACTGTGACCCACTGCACCATGCTGTGAGCTTGTGGGGTTCTGGCCATGTTCCTTGCAGAACCAGACTTGAGATGGGCTTAGCGATGGAAATAATAGGACTGATTCCAGGGCAGGGCTAGGGGGAGGGAACAGGGGAAATTGAATGTGACCTCAAACACATAGGTGGGTGCTGGGACTGTTACTAAAATGGGGAGCCTGGGAGGTACCTGCTAGGAATCGAATTCCAGAGTAAATGGTGGACATTTGTCATTTTTAAGATGCCATTTGTCATTCAAGTTAGGACTTCAAATAGGCACTCGTGTCTATGAGCGTGGGGCTCAGGTGAAGGAGCCGGACTAGAGATTCACGTTGGGATTCGTCATTCTTATCTAGTGTTCACAGCCTTGCATGTGAATTAGATCATCTCAACAGGTGCAGACATAGGCTGAGGGAGGGCAGGGCTGTGCCTGTGTTGGAGGAAAGCCCAGACCATGCAGCTTTGGTGTGTCAGTCAGCGGCGTTTGCGATTTTCAGAGCAATGTCTTTTATCTTTAAGGGGCTGGGGTGTGGGCAGGGCCAGCCAGGAAGAAATCTGAAGGGAGGGCCTTGGCCAGGTGTGTGTCTTGGGAAGATACACAGGCTGCAGTGTCTGGGAGGGTAGACTTCTTAGAAGCTGGAGTTGGAGTGGAAAGTGGGGAGTGGGGAGAATGTAGACACACTCACCTGTCAGGGAGGGGGGAGTCCTTGGGAGTCCCCATCCTACCGGACTCGCTTTCCCATGAACAGAAGGCAATAATACAGAGTATCTGAATTGAGGAGGGATGGGTGCTGGCAGGGGAGCCAACCTGGAGAATGGTGCTTGGAAAATTCTGCAATAGTCTCCCTGAAAATGAGAGAAAAAATACCCAGAATCTAAAGAACATTGATAGTGACTGGGGAGGAGTCAGTTTTTCTGGCCTCCTAAGGGTAAGGCATGTATCCAGGGGTACACAGAAGATACGGGCAGTCTGTTCAGGGGGCTTCACCCTTACCAGGGGGAACAGTGCAAGTTTAAAGGGGGAGAAGGTCAGCGGAGGTAAACTAGCCAGGCCCCGTGTCAGGTACCAGTCGGCCGCCCTACTTGCTTGTTGCATTCACATCCATGCCTCCCAGGTGGGCGGTGGCAGCCCCGTTTTGCAGATTGGGAAGCCTTCTCACAGGGGTTAAGGAATTGGTCCGTTTAGTGGCTAGTAAATACTGTAGCAGGATTCAAGCAGGGCCTTGTCAGACTTCAAGGGCAAGTTTTCTCTACTAATTCCGGTACCTCCCTGTTATACCTGGAATGGTGAAGTGGGTCAGTTTTGGAGCCTTTCAGAAAAAGTGCGATTTAAGTGCCTCAGGACTGTTTCACAAAGCTCAGCGTTCTTTGATGCTTCTGAAGCACTGCAGTGCTTTTCGCCCCACAGAGGTAAGGTCTTACTCCTTTGACGATGACATGGTCGCAAATGACGTACAGGTGCAAAGTCAGACTTAGCAGCTTCTGAAGGGAAACTGTCCAGTTATCCCTTCAGTGGCTTTCTTCCACGAGATGTAGCTGTGCTGCAGCGTAAGGCTGAGCTTTACTTATGGATTGTGGGTTTGACATCCAAAGTTAGCATAAAACGGTCACATGAAGAAAATCGACGTTGACAATTTATTTTTGGGTTTCATTAGTCGAGATATACTATCAGTTAATGACCCATATAACAAATGAAATTGAGTACAGAACATTGCATTTCTTACTTTCTATTTAGAGTTCTCTTACAACATAAGGTTGCCCGCTTTGGAACATCAGCTTCACCAACACGGCACCTATCAGTGTGTTGGTGTGATTGCATTTACACAGTGAATATAATCTGGGCTCCCTCAGCCCCAAACACTCCAGTGCAGAATCACGGGCTGTAGCCATCTCTTAGTCACGCAAATACTTCTAAAATTATATGATGCCAGAAAAGAAAGAAGAGTGAGAGAGAGATTGCCTTTATCAAACTTCCTTTCAATTCTAACTGCAAACTGTTGTTGAGCAGCTCTAGTTTCCTTTGGATATGAATATATACATTTCTTTGCATGTAATCTGGGCTTTCGACCAGAACACCAAACTCTTGCTGTCCA